AAATAAATAAATAAATAAATAAATAAATAAATAAATAAATAAATAAAACACCCTCTCTCCTACTTAACCCCCAGTTCTTGAGAATGATAATGAACAGATTCTGTGTGTCGTAAAAAAAGGGTCCCAGGTGGAATTGAATGATTTCACAGAACCTTTGAGTGAAAATATGAGTTTCTCAAGCTTCAGATTATAGAGTACAGTACCTCCGGGATCCAGCGGGTATGTGAAGGAGGATGGGCAAGTCTCCAATTAACCCTTTAAAGCCTGATCCAAGAATGAAAAAAAACAGAAAATCACATTTTTTTTGTTTGAATGACTTATTCGGCCTTTTAACAAAATATGCAAAAAGAAACAACTAAAATAAATTTTTAATATTAATAATTTATTACTATGCGATAAATCAAAATTATATTTTGAGCAGTCTTCTGCCCCCTGTTATCAGGTGTATCTGAATGTGTACATAAGGATTTTGAGCAAAGTTTTTACCATTAAATTATGCAAAAGGTGTCAGACGCAAAACATTTCAGAAACCGTATTAATCAAATATGATACGTTTGGCATTACAGGGTTAAGCAAAATCAATTTATGGGCCAGCAGGGTTGTGAATGAAACAACACCTTTTAAAACCTTTGGCAAGTGAGCAGTGGGAAGGACACCAAGAATTGCAGACAGTGGATTAGGAGCAATGGTGCGGCCATAGGCCGAGCCCAGTGTGGTAAATATATCAGACCAAAACAACGTCAGTTTAGGACACGACCAGAACATATGGACATGTGTACACCACTAACAGAAGGGTAGATTCTGGATAATGTAGCATCTTTATAATAAAGACCCTATAAAAGAATCTCAGACGTCTGTTCGACGTTTTTTGTGTCACATGTTTGGAGGTTCTGTTCGGAGGGATCAAACTCCCGCTGTGAGAACGGCTAATCAGTGCAAATCCAGGTGTCACGTTTGTGCGGCAGCTCACCTGAGCGGCTTTTGTCTTCTCTCAGATCCCCCGCCGAAGGATCACCTGATCTATTACGGCTTCTCCACATTCGCCATGGAGCTGAACGAGCTCACCCCGGACCTGAAGCCCCTCCTGCCCCCCACCGACAGCCGCCTGCGCCCTGACCAGAGGTCAGGAAACGTCCAAATGCGAAACCTAACCGTGGGGCCTCTTCCTGACTCACTGAGAGTTTCCCCCAACCGTTTTTTCAGAATGCTGGAGGAGGGGAAAGTGGCAGAGGCGGACAAAAAGAAAGACGAGATAGAGGAGTTTCAGAGGGAGCGGAGAAAAGAGCTCTCCAAAAGGGGGGAGGACCACGTCCCCCGTTTTTTCAAGTAAGTGAATTCCATCTCAGAGGAATGAAAACCTGTTAATCACAGCTAAAGCACGGCATGGAAACTCTCCGAAGAAACAGTTTTCCGAACGGTCAAACAAGCTTAACATGACTAGAAAGAGAGCACCTTAGAGAGGCAGAGACTCTCAGAAGTAAAGGTGGTCTGCAGTCGGCAAAAAGAAAGCTTTCAGCTTATTTTTTATTTTTTTATTTATTCGTTAATTTAACTCATTGACGGCCAGAGTTTTTTGAGCATTTTGTCTGATTTTTCAAGAGCCACAGAATAGTTTGTGCTATGACTATGTAAACACCGAACACACCAAAAGAAAGAGTAGACTCTTTTCTTTCATCAGGAAAAAAACATTTGTTTCTACCTTATTCCGTTCTTCCTTGACTTGCGTCTCACCGGCGACATGTTCTCTCATAGAGAACCGTTACCTTTTTCTCATTTGCCTACAGTCTATGCTCATCTCCCATCAAAAGTGGCACTGCCACCTAAAGGGTCAATTTGTTACTACATACTCTGTCTAGAAGCCTGATATTTACGGACAAGCTTTAGCAGATCGTCCCCCAAGCCACTCTCGTTGAAAAACATAAAAGACGTCTATAGACGTCTTTGGCCGCCAATGAGTTAATAGGGACAAGTATGTTTCATGAATCACGTCACACACTACAACATTTTAGCTTAAGCTATTTCTCGATGCCTGACCCCATTGTTGAATGATGTTAAACCAGCTGTTCCAGCAGCATGGCTCCGTAGAAGAGTCCAAATGTGGACCTTTCCTGCATCATTCCAGATGTTTTAACATCAGCAAACATCTAAAATCCATAAAAGCAGACCCAGGGCTGCAGATGTTAAGAGAAGATGGGAAGACACACAGTGGGAAATGTGGACCGCATCGATAATCATCATGAATATCTTTCACAATATTGGTTTACTTTTGTCCTAAGATCAACGGAAATGGATTTTATTCTCCCTTTTCCTGCAGGAAAGCCAAAGATTCCTGTGGACGGGACGTGTGGCTGACTAACAGGACTTACTGGGAGCTCAGAGAGAAGCCGGGTTTTGCTCACGTCAACAATCTAACTCTGTGGTGATTAGCTGAGCTGAGACACGGGCAGAAGAAAGCCGGCTGAAAATGGCTGATAGTGGGAACGGCATTCATGACCCGCTCTGGGAGAGTGGAGACGGTGCCCCCCCCCCCCCCCCCTGCACCCCCCATGACTGGCTCATGGGAAACCTGCAGCATGGCAGTTACCCAGTCAGGGGAAACAGCAGAAAATGCTTTTCTTAATCATTCGCTGTTGTACTTTGTAGGTTAGCTCGGTTTTGGCAAAAGCCGAAGCTGTAATTGGTCAGAGGCCGACTGTATTAGCGCGATATGTGTAAACCTTTGATGACGTCCACCGATCGGTTCACCCGGCTGTGTTTATTCTCTGGATTCTGTCTCATAGTCAGGTTTGGATTGTTCCAAACCAACTTCTAATGTTGCTATGTAACTTTAAGAAACGCAAACACTTTGACCAGCCGTCTAGTGAAGAAGAGGAGAATGTATCTTTACTTTAAAATCTGTTTTCCACTGCTTCAAAGTGACCAAACACTTCCTGCATTGTTACCTTTGTTCTCGAGGAATTGTGCATTTAATTAACTACGTTGACTTTAAATAATTCATAATAAAGCTTGGAGCCAACTCTCTTGCACAGGAATTAGCTGCTAAAGGTGTACGAAGATTGAAATACTTGGCTCAACATGTATGACTTTCTTATTTAAATAAATTAATAGGATGGAAATGAATTATTTCTGGCTACCAAAGTTTGATGTTTATCATTAAAATCTTTCATTTTGATTGAAATACTCAAATGCAAACATAGAACATTTGAGGGCATTACGTCTCTAGACAAGATTAGAAATGTTGTTAATTAGTTGTAATTGACATTATCATTTCAGACCAATAATATTGGTCCGTCACCTGTAGATTTTCAACTTGTAGGTTTGTTAAAAAGAGGCAAAGGCAGGGTGTTTCCTTATTACATTTTGTTAACTAGTTTGCTAAGCACAGTAAAATCAACAATCAGGGTCCTTTTTTCCATAAAGCAACATATTTATGTGTACCTGTTGAATGAATATTAGAGGCCAAAATATCAGCATATATTGGTATTTCTTACCCTGCAAAGGTTTGTACCCGTTTTGGCTCCAAAAATCCAGTTATAATTGGGTTTTTCAGAAAATCAATAGTTTAATTTAGCAGTGTATTTTGGTGCATATGACAGTACCCATCAGTTTGGAGATATACACATTCTGTTTCTGCATATTTATACAGAACATTAAAGTGGTCCCATCATAAGTGTGTTTATTAAATTCAAAAGGGATTTATAATGATAGTATATAACTATGTTCATTTGTTTTTTTCAGCTTACTTTGCACTCTGGGAAAAAAAAAAAACTGAATTAGCCTTTATTTCTACTGAAATTAAAATAAAGGAGCACGTCAGAGATTGAACATGTGGAAGCTTTAATTTCATGAATTTAAAAAAGAATACAATTATGCCAGCTTTAATAAATAAGTTTCAGTTTTCCCCTTCAGAAAATCCTCTCTTTTTTTTTGTTCGTTTCTTCACTTCATAACACTTTATTACCTCTTAATGCGTCAAATGACAAGTACTTCTCAACTGACATACACAGTGCACAGGAATCACACGGAAATGAACATGCTTGTTGCTCGGGCTACATGGTCTCCTCTGTTTTTTTAAATTATACATCAAAATCTCTGGAAATGCAGTCTTATTTTTCTCATAGAGGGTACGCATGTTCAGGAAAAGAGACGGAGGAAAAAATGAAGGTTTTAGGAGAATGGAGATCAGGCATAGAGTCGACCTGGTAAAGTTGATTGTAATAGCGCAGATATCCAGCAGGGGTCCTTCCTGAGGCATCCAGCAGCTTTTCACTGCTCTTTCATGTGAGATCTTGCACTCTTCTTGTAGGTGCAAGGTCACCCAGTGTACCACATAAACCACAGCACATTAAATAAATAACTGACATCGTCTACAGGCAGAATTCACATAAAACTTTGCTCTCTTTGTTTCCGCAGGGCCAACGTTGATTCTAGACTAATTTATTTTTCTATTAATTGCACTTAAAACATGGATTGGCCGTTGTACAGTTACATTAAGAAGAGTCTTTCTCTGGCAAACGCCAACATAAAGGTTTAAAATAAAAATATTTTGGAGAATAGGTTAAAATGTGATTTATATCCATTCTACGTTCAGCATTTTTTTTTTTTTGGTTCAATTATAGACTTCAAACCTCTGCAAATTAGACAGATGTGTCAGGCAGTTTGTTCCTTAGCATCAACATTAAATTTAAGACTATTGTGAGAACCCCAGTACAAAATATTATCTTCCAGGGAAAGAAATTTGCTGACCAAAGACAGGAATATTTTACGCTATAGTAATCAAGCATTTCTCTTTTGGGACCAAAAACACAAAAACAGTAAACGGTGTCATATTTGATCAATTAAGTTAAATATTGCTGATATTATCCCCCAACATAAAAAGGTCAAATATACTGGTTCAAAAATCTTTGTTAAAAACACTGATAAGAACAGTGAAGTACATAAATGCGTTTTTCTTTCTTATTTGAAAAGAGGCGAGTATTAAATGGAAGTTTAAGGGTAATCGTATCATTACGGTTAAGCTACTGTATCTTAAAAAGAAAATTAGCTTAGCTTGTGTCACTTTATATTTCTCTATCAAATCCAGTTTCTGTGTGTTTGGCAGTTATTTGCAAACAGAACATTTTTGGTGGTATATTTTTTATCCAAGTTTTTTTTTCTAAAAGTAATGAACATCAGATATTGGATAAATTAGCTTAAGCTAATGCTTGCTCACTGGTAGCGTGTAGCTAGTTAGCTTCCTAAGCTTGTTCGATTTGGTCGTGGCTGCTTTGGAGGATGTAAGACACACAAATCTTGGTTAAAAAAAACTGGTTTTGTTCAGTCTTGAACAGTTATGGGTGGATTCCGGGGTGTTTTTCGTGATGTGAATGAAACAAACCTTTTATTCTACCATTTAGAACTTCTTCACGTTTTTTAAAGAAATATCTTTGCTTTCATCATTTGCATTTACCTTTTTTTAAAATACATTTGCATATCTTAGTTATTGCTTTTTAAGCATTGAAAATGACCCCTATTAGGCAAATTCTCTATACTTTATGGCAAAAAGTCAATCAAGATTCACAGCTTTTCCCCCTGATTTGAGTTTCAGCTTTGTGTAACTGTACGTGGACCTTTGTTATTGTTTCCGTGAAACGACTGAATCTCTCTCTGAGAAAAGGCTGAAGTGTTCCTGTTTGACACTGTCGCCCCCGGTGTTGTCACAGGCCGTTAGCACACCTGGAGAGGGCTGAGGAGCAGGTCTCTGATCGGCTCCGACTGTAGCCTCACTCTTTGTTTCTGTCACCGGGCCTCTGTCAGCCGGTGTCACCACACCATCGGCCCTGGGACAACACAGGGAAACGCTTTTCCTTCCTGTTTACTGTAGGCCGCGGGTGACACACTCTCTCCACACCACCGGCGCGTCCCGCTCGACCCACTTTTCGGCTCCTTTAGCCGGACAAATGCTACGTGACGTCAATTTGTGTGAAGCGTGTCATCAGTCCAGCCGTTTTTCCCCCTAAAGCCTCTCACAAGTTGCTCTACAGATCAATACCAATCATTCACTGGTTGTGGCCCAAACATTTGACGTGTAATATCAAAAGACAGAAATCAAGCGTTCCCAATGATCAAAAGTTTTGAGATGTAAAGACTGTCTTCATGCTTTAAAGCAGGTATGCCTCTTTAGAGCTACTAAACCGCCAAATACTTTAGGAAACTCCCTCCTCCCACACACCTAAGTGACATAAGGCTTCAAAGGAATGCCAAATCCCCCAGTTTATGGATTCTCTGTGTCTCACAATTATACTGTCTTTCTGTTGTGATGGTCCAAATTGTAAATATTAGACCGAATTTCAAAAGCCAGACGAGGTTATAACCCTGGTGTCAGATTAGTGTGGTGGAAAAATGGTTCTTCGAGGAGAAGAAACATGTCGGTTTAATGATCTAATCAATCAACTGGTAATATTTTGAATAAGTTAAATCCTTATTATGAGAAAAAAAAGGGGTTTTGCCTTTCGGAAATCAGATATTCAGTTAGTTGGAAGAATGAAAATCATATAAATTTAGCTTGAAAGCGTATTAGAATAATATATCCTGACTCTGTGGCTCAAAACCAGCATTTGTTGGTTAGTTGCCTCTGTGTTTTTGAGCTAAAATCGACATGTAGGATAAATAAAAAAAAGTTGCTCTCGTTGTATTTCCTTTGATGCATCTGTTGTGGTTGTTTGTTTACTCAACGAGCACGCGGAGGTACACAATCAGGGCGGGGCGGCGGGTGGAAATGTTTCTGCTGAGAACCATCAGGGGAGGGGAGGCGCGTGAACGGGGGGGAGGGAGGTCACACCCGGGACTCGGCAAAAGAGGCAGAGAGAGTGTTTGACGCGGAGAGAACCGACAATCCCTGCAGGCGTCTGTCAGGAAGCAGATATGTAGATGTTTGCTTTTGGTTTTTTTGTTTTTTTAAAATCTCCAGATGTTCCAGAAGACTCCGGTCACACCTCAGTTTGTCCGCCTGGTGTTTTTGTCACATCGGCTTCGGCTCATTTTGACAAGAATCCCCGAAAGTTCCCTGAAAGTTACCAATTTTTTTAGGACTTTTTGGAGACCGGTGGCTTGGGGGGAGACCCTGGCGGCCCTCAGTGGGCGTAGTAGCCGTAGTAGTCCGCCTCGCCGCCGCTGTCCTTCTCGCAGGCCTCGCCGCCCCGTTGCCGTGGCGCCGGCGGCGGCGAGCTCTCGGCGCTGGACGCGTACGGGGACACCCTCCTCTTCTTGTCGGCCACGCCTCCCTCGAAAAGGCCCGAGTCCGCCGAGTCCGCCGACTTGACGGAGGGCGGCTCCAGCCACTGGTCCTCCCCCGCCGTCGCCACGGCAACGCCCGTCGCCAGGGCCGTAACCCCGGCGCCGTCTTTGGCTTTAGCCTGCAGCAGGGGGTGCTGCAGGGACTCCAGCAGGCCGGGGGCGTGCAGCCGATGGTTGCCGGGCGACGTGGACAACGAGGAGGATGAGGAGGAGGAGGAGGAGGAAGAGGAGGAGCAGATGGGCCTGAACCAGCCCAGGCCGGGGGCGGGTTTCCCCGGGTGGGCGAGGTACTGCGGGGCGGGGCGGGCGGCGCCCCAGCAGGCCGGGGGGGCGGCGGCGGGGGGGGCGAAGGCGTGGTCGGGGTAGTAGCCCAGGTGGGCGGAGCCCTGCAGGGGGAAGGGCTTGTAGAAGCCGTTCCCGGAGAAGTCGCCCTCGTAGGAGGAGCCAAAGTCCAGCCGGTGGTTGGGCGCCACGCCCTGCTGGGGCTGCAGATACCAGCGGCCGGGGG